TTTTTATATAAAATTTATATAAAATTTTATATAAAACTTTTATATAAACTTTTATATAAAATGGATTTATATAAAATCTATATATTTCCACTATAAACTCATCATGTCTCTCCAAAAATGTCCCCTTTGAAAAAGAATTCTGTTCATGAGACAACTAACTATTTAACATTCCCCACTCCCTTCCCTTTAAAAGGACCATGTACTGGCAAAACAGCAAGGGGAACAATCTACAAGGGAATTTGGATTAATTTGTTTCAAAGCATTTAGGTTGTTAATCTTGCGATTACAGGTAGAAATACAATTTCACTGGTAAAACTTCCTTGGGCATTATGAAAGGATTTACCATCATTTAGTTAATAGATCAGGAAAAGAAATTTTTGATGGGTAACAAAGCCCCATAGAGAATTTGCCGATTTGTGTGAACACAACTTTGAATGATCTCAAGTTAGGCTGTGGGCCTTTTAAAATGGATTGGAATTGACCACCGTTTTCAGATCTTCACATGTTGCTCTTTTAATCCATCTGTATATTGATCTGTTCACTAACAAAACTACATATATTATCGGTTGCTCTTTGAGACACTCAAGCTATGTTTTATTATCCTTTTCAGAGGACCCACATATTTGCAGGTGAATGGTGCTTAACTAGGAGTTAGATGAGAGTCTACGTAGGAGCCCTTATTGAAAGTTGCTTAGAAAGAAGCTCATTTTTATGCTTCTGTAGATACAAGCACAATAATACGACATTTAAATTGATTTATATAAAACCAGTTCTATAACCATCCAGTAAAAGAACTGGTTGAGACACGGGCCTGATTCACCCACAACACTAAGCTAGATTCAGTACTTTGGAGTTTACTATTACATTCAAACCAAGCAACTTTGGCTTAGTCAACAAATCATGGTTTAAAATTCTTGGCTTAATGTATGAACTACAGGCAGTCCTCACTTACTGACTGCCCCATTTAGCGACCATTCTTTACTATTACATTCAAACCAAGCAACTTTGGCTTAGTCAACAAATCATGGTTTAAAATTCTTGGCTTAATGTATGAACTACAGGCAGTCCTCACTTACTGACTGCCTCATTTAGCGACCATTCAAAGTTACAACGATTGAAAAAAATCGATTTGCAACCAATTCTTGCAAACCAATTCTTGCATTTACAACCATTGCAGCATTCCGCCATCACATGATCACCATTTGGGTGCTTTGCAACTGGCATGCATTTATGACCATCGCAGCATCCCACAGTCATGTGATTGCCATTTGCATGCTTCACAATTGGTTTCCAACCAGCAGAATTAATGGAGAATGCAGAAATGAAATTGCAAGTTGTGCTTAATGACCATGGTGATTTGCTTAATGACAGAAGCAGAAGTGAGTTCGTAAGTCTGGTGCGGTCACGTGAAGTTTTGCTTAGCGCTTACGGCGTTTAGTAATGGAGTTGCCAGTCCCAATTGTGGTTGGTAAGCGAGGATTGCCTGTACAGTATATTTCAGCCATAGAGAGAGAGATCCCTTCATCACTGATACAATAATTTGTCTCAAATATTATGAATAGTAAAGTTTGAAACTCAAATACAAGGTTTAAACTATTTTAATTAGCTGAAGGAAGATAGAAGAAGAGAGAGGCTAAAGAGTGCCCAGAGTAATGATAATATGTAACATCTTTCTCTTCATGCTGGGACCACCTTCACTGAATTCGGAGACTGTATAGATGTTTTGGGTAGAAATAGCACTACAAAGCCTATGCTGTAGCCATAAGCCACTTGGAGGAGGGATTCTTTATGCTCACTTCTGAAGGTATGAAGTCACAGAAGAGGCAGCACCCCTTGTAGAAGACACTTTCCTAGTGATGAAACAAAACAAATATTGACCTTCACACATGACAGACATGTATAATCTTGTTCATGATTGGGAGGCAACCTCTACAGGTATTCCTCGGTTAATGACCACTCGTTCAGTGACCGTTTGAAGTTGCAGTGGCACTGAACGAGTGGTGGTTACGACCCGTCCTCAAAGTTTCAGCCATCCCAGCACCTCCACGGTCACGTGATCACAATTCAGGCAACCAGCTTGCACTTAGGATGGTTGCAACATCCTATGCTCACATGATCGCAATTTACAACCTTCCCTGCCAGCTTCCCACAAGCAAAGTCAATGGGAAAGCCGGCAGGGAAGGTTGCAAGTTGCTCAGGAAAATCTCTCCCACCTGTGCATCATCCCTGAGGTTTGCTGTGCTTGCACTGGCCCCCGCCACTCGCACACCCTTGTGCACCCTCCCCACTGGCAGCAGCCACCCCAAGCCCCACTGCATTCATGCCATGTCTCCCCGCCACTTGCACACCCTCACACACCCTCTCCCACCTGGCAGCATCCACCCCAAGCTCTGCCACTCGCGCTGTACCTCCCCAGCCACCCTTGCACCCCCTCGCTTCTCTCTGCTTGGCAGCAGCCACTTACCTGCCTGCCAGCCTGCTTGCCAGCTGCCTGGGTCTTGCAGCTTCATGCTGGTTTCCCCACTGACTTTGGTTGTTGGAAGCCATCAGGAAGTTGCAAGGAGGCGCTCGCTTAACGACCCATGATCCTCACTTAAGGCTGACAACAGGGACTGCAGGGATTGCCGTCGCTAAGCAATGTCATCACGTGACATCGCACTTTATGACTGCATTACTTAGCGACAGAAATTCCAGTTCCCGTTGCCGTTGTAACTTGAGGACTCCCTGTACTTAGCCCAAGGGGGACTTTTATAGTGAATTAATAGAAGCTGTTTGCCAGAAAACTGATTTGACAACCTGTGCTTCAGAATGTGGATAACACGATTGATACGTAGTAAATAGCCACATTTTAAAGGGCAGTGTGAAATTTTCAGTTTGAGGATTTGTTTATTTGTTTGCTTGACTGTGATAACTTAAGCCGCAACTCACATTACCCTGTCTCTCTGGATTACTCAGTGATGTTTAAGAGACTTTAGTTAATTGAACGTTGCAGGGACAACCGTGGCAGCAGAAAGCACAGGCAGTAATTCTCAATTGTGGGGAACCACACAGTTGGGATGTGGTTCATCAAACTATTATTTTCCAGAATTGCACCCCCTTTCAATTTCTTCATGCTCATGTTTCTTCATTCTTCAGCTGTAGCCAACCAATTTTTTGTAGAGCAAAAAGAAAACAAGAGAAGGGAACTCTGTTCTTTTGACCTAGGTTTGATATTGAAATGGCTCTTTGGATGCCATGAATGATTACTTACAGCAGGTGCTCTGATTCCCCTGCACCTAGTATTACAACACAAAGAGGACAATGCTTTCAGTATTGTGTAGAGCTGCAAGTAAGCAACTTGCTTTGATGAGAATTGGAAGCACACTGTCCCTGTCTTCTCTTGGTCATTTCCAAGCTCTGGCATTTGGCTCAAGGAGAACAAATTTTTGAAGGGCATACTTGGTTTGGACTAAAGCAGTTTTTCTTTGCTCAGTGACCTATCTGACGTACTTCCTTTGCCATTAGGGAGACATGGAAGTGCAGGAGGCTGTTGGCTTCTCTGTCCAGCTCTTCAACTTGGTGGTTCAGCCAGTTTTATTCTCTTCTGAGTTTCAGACTGAAGTTAAAGTATTAGGAGAAAATCATGTTAGTTCCTCTGGACTTCTGAGAAACTTTTGATATAGTTAATCCTACTTGCAGATCAGAAGTCTACCACCACCAGTAGGGTTTCTAAGTTTTTACCTGCAGCAATTCCTGTAAGATGCCCTAATCTTGGAGTGATGATATTATGAATTCTTCTATTTATTTTTTTAACTGAATGTTTATTTTGCTTCTATTTTATCTTAAGTTTTAAATTGTTTTACAATTTGCAATTTATCCAATGTCTCTTTCTCTGTTTTTAACTCTTAATTTTTTAATATTTTTATTAAGAGTTTTTACATAAATAAAAGACCACTAGGAAAATATATAAACCAAAGAAAGAAAGACAGGCGGTAAAAGAAAGAAAAAAAAGATAATTAAAGAAACAAAAATCAGAAAAAATAAGCAACTTCTGACCTTCTTTTCAACAAATTCATTGTCCCTCCTCCCTCTTAAGTATTACAAAACTCCCTTCAGCTCCTTATTCAATCCTTTTTCAATCATCAAATCCAGAAATCATCATTTCACCTACAAAAGACTGGAATGCCTTTATGGACTTTTTTCTAAAAATGGAAAATTAAGTCTTAATTTTTTCTATATCACTGCCATACTGTATATGTTGTATTCAATTATTGCTTCTGAATTTTTCTTTTTTACCTTGCTGACCGTTGACTGTCATAAAATAAATTTGAATTTGACCATGGCATCCTTCTGGAACGTGGCTATGTTCTTTTTTCCAGGCTTCCATGCTCTTAGTAAGCTGCGTTTAGCAATCTCTGCATGCTTATGCATGCACAACCCCTTCCTTTCACCTCTTCCAAACAGCTGTGCGTTCTGTTTTGTAAGGTAAAAGAAAATTGCAAAATTTTGCAGCTAAATGCAGCCATTTTAATTCGGCCCAAGGGAGTCAGCTTGTGCTAATTTGTAACCAGGCTCCATTTACACCTCATCGTATTTGTTTAGAGTAATTTGTTTAACCAAGGTATAAATAAAGCAAGCATTTTGATCGGACTGTGTAATTAATAGTAGAACTTGATGTTTGACTTTGGAATATCTAAGAGAAGCCCTTCATTTTCATTGTCTGCCCTTGTCTGATTTTTCACCCTTCATTAAGGGGGGGGAAAAAAAAGAATATGTGCTTGTTTTACAGTTACAGGACCGTACACAATTCAGTGACCGAGATTTAGCTACCCTTAAGAAATATTGGGATAAAGGTATGACCAGTCTTGGATCGGTTTGCAGAGAGAAAATCGAAGCAGTTGCGGCAGAGTTAAATGTTGACTGTGAAATAGTGAGGGTAAGAAACTTCTGTTCCTTTCATTTCTGTTTGTAGAAAGCAAAATAGCCTTGACAAAAGTTTTCTTTTTGAATTGCAGGAGTTAGACTGAAATACTGTAGATTGCAGATGTTATACAATGAATGGTCACATTAGGAAGTGCTCTGTTTCCTGACTATTTATAGCTAAAATGCCTTAGGTGAGACATTTATTGATCAGTACTATGTGTTAGATGTCTGATACTCCAGTTGTACTGGGATTTATATCAGCTTTTTTAAAGGGAGGGGCATTCTTGAAAGCTGAAAAGGAGTAACAGTTGCTTTTCTGTTCTTCATGGGGTAGAAGGAAGCTTTGTTTGGTCTTCTTTTCTTTTGACCTTGCAAAGGGGGGGGGGCGGGAAATGACAGGAGCGATGCTTTCCATGTGTGGAGTCCCAAGTATAACGCCTGGCATCTTCAGTCAATTCATCTTCCCAATTTGCAGACTTGGCAAACTCTGCTTGAAAACCTGGGGAGTTGAGGATACCATATACTAATTTGGTACATTTTATGCTCAATGGTGAGGTGAGGAGAGGCTGAGAATTCTTGAGAATATGAGTTGTTCCCTCGAACATTGAAATTTCCACTCAGTTACTAGTTCACTAAGTAAGCTAACTGCTATTCTTTTAGATTTAGGTGCTCATCGGCAATATAATTATACTAACTTACTTTATTGGGATATTGTAAAGACTGTTGACAGTATTTGTAGGAGGGCTTTGAACAATGTCAGATTTCTCTTTAAATGCTAACTATGATTAATTTTGACATTTTTATCTTACCCTTCCGCCAAACACCTTAGGATGGCATATATGACTGTCCACCCATACTGATACCATCTTGACCTGTGAGGTTCATAGCTGAAAGGGAATGAGTTTCATTGTGAGCAGGAATTTGAACACAGATATGCCATTTTATGGTCTAGCAACTTAATCAATATACCAGCATTTTAGCCCTAAAAATAATGTCTTTAAAAAATCAATGAAATCCAAATAAAACCTTTCCCCTCACTTCAAATATTTATTGAATATTTAGAGCTCTGAGTGTTCTGTATCCTTCTATCTCCCCTTCCCTATCTAATACTGCATCAAGACCAGTTTTTAGAATAAATAATCCTGTGCACATCCCATTTTTGCTTTTCAGGGTTTCAGTTTAGAAATCAGATATAATTAGGGCAGCCTTTCCCATCTGATTCTTTCCAAATGTGTGTCTCCTTTTCCAAATTCTTTTCTCCCTTTCTTTGCCAGATCTGGTAATTGCCATTAAGGTGCCTCTAATTCTAGTACTTCAATATAATACATTTTATGCATTCATTCATTCATTTATAATCAATAAATAAACCACTTTTCATTCAAAGATAATTGGATTAGAGGTGATAAAATTAGAAGAGAGGAATGGGAACATATGTTGAAATTCCATTTAGTTTCTCTTGGATTCCGACTCCTTATGTAGAACTGCTATCCACACATCTCCAAAGAAACTTCAATAACGCCAGTGTGTTTCTTCTTCGGTGATTGTAGTTCAGCTTGGGACGTGCACATGTGAAAGAGGTCAAACACCTTTTAAGAAAAATCTTTGCAAAGATGGCAGTTAGTAGAATCGCTCTCAAATACCAAATAAAATAGAGGAACTTAAAACTTGATAACAGTGGTTAAAATCATGTTTTGAGTGAATTGAAAAGGGGAAAATCATCACCTTTTCTTAAAAGTGGAAGCAGTAGCATGGAATGCAACATCCAAAGGAGTTGAGAACAAGGCAGGACAAGGCTTCCTTTTATGTGTTTAAGAAATTAATTTTAGAAAATGGCTTGAATTCTTTTATCTGTTGGGAGGCCTCTGTATTTAACTGCAGTTCACTGTTTCTGAAAAAAGAAAGGATTAACATACCAGTTATGTTGTTGGTCTTCTGAATTAAATATTTAAAATGGAGTAGGTTGTATTCTAATTTTGTACAAGTACTGCAGTAATAGAAGAAAGGACAAGGCATTTTGTGCCTTGAAAGCATTTAGATATCCTATTCCTTATTGTTGTCCCAAATGGTGCAAGTTTCAAAGGCTCTATACTTTGCAGTTAGCAATGCAGAAAATTGGGCATTGCATTGTTAAACGTGTTATTGAGATGAAGGCAATGTACATTAACTGCATTTATTTAAGCTTTCATGACACACTTTTTTATTTCAGCAATATTCAGACAATTCACTGTAATTGTCTAGAATTGTTTCAAAATTTGGCTGTAATGTTTAAAAATAAAAGATTACGTATATGTCCCTTGAAACAAACTTGTAAGAAATGGTCCTCTTTGCATAGCTCTCCACTTAACCTTAGATGGTAAGGGGAAATAGTACAGGATACTAGCAGATATTTATATGCGTAGAGGCAGCCTCTAATATATCTTGGTCCTAGGCAACTTGGAGCTTTAAACATCAATCCAGAAGGCAACAGGGATGTCCACCCGCGTACTAACCATTTCCTGTTAATAGGGAAAATTGTAGAGGTTGCAACCCTATTTCCTTAACAAAAGACATTCCCTGTGGCTTTCATGCTTTTTCTTTGTCCTTGAAGAAGATATACGTTGACACTTGTATGATTCTTCTAGCCATAAGTTTGTACAAATACAGTTTGGCTTGTATCTTTGTGGAAACTCTTCCTGTTCTTTAGTGTTAGGAAAGACATACATCGTTTCTTTGTGTTAGGAAACTGCAATCTGTCTCCTAGATTTAGAAACCTTGGGGGCTTCCTTAATTTTTCAGCTTTGGGATCAGCGATAACTTCTAATATTTTCCATATCTGTTTTCTTATTACAAGACTTGGATTGGAAATCGGAGACGAAAGTATCGTCTAATGGGAATTGAAGTCCCTCCTCCTCGAGGCGGCCCTGCTGTTTTTTCGAGTCAGTCTGATTCCAGTGATAAATCAGTACCCATTCCAGGAGATGACACTCTGACTGATATAGGAGATGATAACGACAGGAATGATGAAGTATCCATCTGCTTATCAGAAGGAAGCTCCCAAGGTATTCAGAGCTGCCATTGGTATTATATTGTAACACGCGGGGCCTTCAGGGTTTACAGCATGGAACACTTCATTTAAGTTCCAGCCAATCACCCATGACTTCTAGGATGGTCATTCTATCTTATCCCTTCAGTTTTCCAACTTTTCCTTTCCTAATAGGATTGGCTGCCATTTATTTCTTTCTCAGTCCTGCCTGGAGATGCTGAGATTGAAATTTGGATCTTCACCTTGCTAATTACAACTGCTGCTGCTGAGTGATTGCCCCTCCCCAACTAAAAATAAACAGCAATAAAGAAAGAGTTGAAAGATCAAGATGGAGAATATAAAATTTGCAAGAAGCATATACGTATCAAGTTGAAATCAGGTTTATTTGACATATAGAGAAATCATAGAGATCAAGACCCTTTGCACATATTTATAAAATACAAAGCAGTAGAGGAATCTTCTGGGAATGGGACATGTAGTTATTTTTTAGGTCAGGGATGATTGCTCAGGCATCTCCCTGGATTAAATGTTGTGTTGTTATCTGAACTCTCCTGCATAGCAATATATAGCTAGCAATCTGTGTATCCTGCTTTATTTCCTCCAAGTTGACAAAAATGCAGTTGAAGATGCAATATGGTATTTCTTCCAAAGGCATTGGTGATAAATCAAGAAAGGGGCTTCCATGGGTCCAGCTCACAGCGATGTGCCTCACGCTTGAGATGGTGTTAAGAAATTCTCTACCTTTAGACCCTAATCCTAGTTAAAAGTCATTCTGGGCCAGGATGTATGCCCAACATAACATGGCTTATACAGCCTGTCTGAATATTTCATTGCTCATTTGGACAACACAAGTCCAGATTAAAATTTGTTTTTCAGGCTGACTGTAAAAGGATAATTAATATTTCAGTAGAAGAGAGGCGTAGAATCATGGCCTGGCACTGATCATTTAATATGGCTGAAATTATCCTTTAGTGTTAGAGCCCATTCTTAGCAACCCAACAAGTGATAGAGGCAGGCTGTTATGAGGCTGGAAGTGGGTTTTAAAATACACAAGCAGCAATGACTGTGTCTGATGGAAGCGAACATGGGTTCACATTTCACCGACTTCACAGTTCAGCTAATTGCTCCTGGTGCTTTTGACTGGAACAAATTGGCAAAGACTTTGCCTTGGGAACTTCAGAAATAGCCTGTTTCTAGGGCACATTAATGGCTAGATAGATAGATATGCCAGGTTTGATCTCATCATTTTGTTTGAACAATTTGGAGAAAGAAAGAATAAAAATATCTGAGAATTTGAGAACTTGTGATGAGTCTGTCAGAATTTCAGTTTCAAAGAGAATACAATAACAACACAAAATTGACTAGAAGTAACTGGAAGCCAAGCAGGTTACTAAAATCTGCAAATCTTCTTTTCGCCTGAGGTGAAAGAACTCCTCCAGCAGCAAGAGGGCTGAGGAGTAGAACGTTCTGCAGCTCTAGCGAGAAACTGTCTTAATATTAATTGGGTCTGGCACTCTGAAGCTTACAATGGAACCATCAGGGAGAGGCAGCAAGAAGATCACTCTAATCAATACATGCACAGCTGCAGGATAAATAGTGGGTTTTCTTAGGGAACAAGGACTGAAAGATTTGGTTTCTTATGCATCCGCAATTATGATTTTGCGCCCACCATAAAAGACAAAGCTACATCA